GGACGAGCGAGGGCTGCAAGTCGAGTCGAGTGGGCCAAGCTGCTGCAGAATTTGGCAAGAAGGGGTTATGACCACGTGACTTGCGGGCTTGCTGCCCTGTGCACGTGACATTCGGTGGTATTCACAGGATTCGAGTCAACTTTTGAGAGGCGCACGTCGAAGAGTGTGTCAACATCCTTGGCAGGTATAATAATAGCATGAGCCTTCTCCTGAAGACATTCTTGCTTTCGCATCCACGTACGTCCAAACAGGCTTCGAGCGGGAAGCAGAGCGAAGGACCATGTCGGAACAGTCATGCAGGAAGAGACTCGCTGTGGCTGCTGGGATAACACACAACAGGCCTGATGGACAATCTTGAATAAATCTGCTCCTGCTCCTGATATGCTCTCGTACAGGACAGCTGATCCGTACGTACGGGTATGCAAAAACGCAGTGTCAAGACTCCCAATCAAGAACGGCTTGGGGCTGGGGCTCAAAATTTTGCTTTTGCGGCCGCATGTTGCTTCAAACTGGCACTCAAAAGACATGTAAGCAAAGCTGCGAGGTTGTGCAGGTGTGCAGGTGTACTCACGCCTCTCCAATCACGAGTACCTGATTGCAAGGCAGAAAGTCACGGCTGACAAAGCTATCCTTGGCGTAGCCGAGGGCGTCGCTGGTGGGGCCAAAGTAGGATGCAGTCATACGGCAGCCTTTACTTGGCCCATAACCCTGAGCGCTTCGACAATGATCGTTTTACTGTCCCATCGAGACAGGCCGGAGGTGAGCATGAGCATGGGCATGAGCATATGCCGTATCTTGAACATGGTGCTGCGACAGAATGGACGCAGACTTATGGCGCTCGCCGTGTAGCAGGCGTGCAGCCAGACACGGACCTGCAATGCCATCACTGATGCTCCCCTCAACCCGCTAAACACACGACTCCCGTCGCGGCTCTTTCTGGCGCAGACTGCAGCGCCCGCTTCTCATCAGAGTCAAGCACGATAGGCCCGCCCGCGACGACATTCGTGATTGTTGTTCTTGGCGTCTACAGTAGCCGGCTTGCGGAACGCCCTTGACGCCGA